ACAGTGAACAGAGGTATTGGTGACTAGCCTTACAGTACAGTGAACAGAGGTATTGGTGACTAGCCTTACAGTACAGTGAACAGAGGTATTGGTGAGCACTCAAAGGCTTCCTGATTAGACTTTCCTATGATAAATCTATAGCAGTGTTCCTCAATCCGGTCCTCGTGGACCCGGAGTCAGTCCACATTTTTGCTCTCTCCCTGCTCCTGTGACTGTCTGTGGGTCCCTAAGGACCGGATTGGGAAACACTGATCTATAGGAAACCCCATGAACTGATCACCGTCACAACCAGAGGAAGATCTGACACCTCTTGTGAATCTGGTGTTATTTCATTCAGTCTGGGATGGGGTTGTCTGCCTTCTGTTGATCATGTGGAATTTAAAAAGCACATAAAACTTCAAATCAAGACTGCAAATTAAACAGTACTGTTGATTTAAAGTGAAATATCAGACAGCTGTATGAAACACAGTGTTAATTGAATTTTGCCTGGTTTACCAAACGCTTCCTTCCATCTCCTTAATAGAACGGCACATTTTACATAGCCGAAGGCACGTACTGTATATGCTGTTGGAGCCCTTCTTGTGTCACGGAAAAGCTGTTTTATTTATAAGCTCATGTCACATCTGGGTCCGTGTTTCTGCACCTGCGGGAGAAGGTGGTACCCTCAGCTGAGGGGCCCTCCCCTCTGACATCACACCCGTCTTGGGGATGCTGATTGGCCACCGCATCACCCCTTTGTTCAAGGCCTGCCCCCATCCAAGGTGGCAGCCACGAGGGTTGCGTTTGGGAAATACGAGCCGGTTGAAAGTTAGAAGCGATGGTCTGTTGCGACTTCTTACGTTTCAGTCTGTCATGCAAATGTTTCTTCAAAGGCACTTTTAACATGTTTCTCAAAGTTTTGGCACCAGTTTAAATACCCGGATGTTGTTGACACGGTGATGGTCAAACACAGGGTGCAGGGGCTGGGAAATCAAGAGACATGAAGCAACATCCTTTTTAGTCAGAAGACCAGTTTGCAAAGCACTGCAGCTCTACTCAAAACACAACAGGAGCCTCCCGAAATTAGTCATTACCTCTGTGTATTGAGATATTAGGACACGCCTGTCTGTCTAACAGGTAAACAATGCGATTCTGAACAGGGAGACTCCAGAGATCAACAGACATCAAAGCCCAAAAAGCTGTTTTAGTAGGACAGACAGACGTGGACATCTCAACTGAAACGCCGTCCCACTGGATAAAGTCCAGTAATGCATGAGGTCAAGCCGAGGTCAGCAGCTCCTGGTCCAGCCTGTCCATTAGTAGGTTATTTAGTGTGTTATTTTGTCAGTGGGAGTGACAGACCAGCAAAAATGAATCATTATCCACCCCCCTGGCCCAGCCCCCACCCTTACGGCAATCAATAATGAAAGATCATTAAAATGAATAGATGGACCTGCCTTTCTGTCCGGTTCCTAATTGTGAGATCAGTGTCAGGGGAATGAAGACAGAGATGGTCCAGGGCCTTAAAAGCCGTCCTCTGATTGGCATGAACTCATCTTCGGAACTGGACTGACGGCTGGCGCCCCGATTCGCTTCCCACCCCCCTATTCTCAGCTTTTAGACCTTTCAGAAGGCCATGCCAACTCAATGGCACCTCTTCACCCCAAAGCACAGAATGCTCAGTCTGTACACAGACCAACGAGTGCCAACGAGTGATGAAATCTGCAAAGAAAAGTGGTGGGAAACATGGTGGGTTTCCAGTCACCTGGAGAGAAACCTTGAGAAACCAAAGGAAACCTCATGTAAAAACCTGGAGAAATTCTGGTGAGGAACCAGGAAAAGAAACAGGAGAAACCTACAGAAACCTATAGAGAGTAGAGGAGACCGGGTGAAGCCTGGAGATGAACCAGAGAAGAAGCCTGAGAAAGGACTCCGCACTGGCACATTGTAAATGCCACCCTGCACACCTGCACGTGCTTTCAGGGCCGTCCATGGGCTCTGTAGCTCTGTCAGTGTAAAGGCTGCAGGTGTACATAGGTGTAGGACACTGATGTGGGCAAAAGGAGTGGGACTCAGCAGGTGTGTCTCTGACTGGGAGCACGGGGGACGGTGAGATACCACGGAAGCACAGAAAGGTGCCAAGATGGATCTCTGCTGCTGGACATTCAAACAAAGCACTCAGATAAAACTGTTTCAGCGATATTACCGGCTTTATGTGAATCTCCGCATATGACAGCTTGCAAAGTGCCTGAAAAGCCAGTAATTGACTGTGAAGTGAGGAATGCCTGTGGTTTTTGTTTTTAAAATGCGAAGAATGTGCGCAGGTCCTTATGAGGTCTGGCATGGTCGAGCGATCATCTCTTTAAAGTGTCCTGCGGGGTGCAGCCGACAGGTCCTGTGCGATACAGGTACATCCACAATTTACGGTTTGCAGCTGTTCAGGGGCAGCAGGGGTAAGCGCTGTGCTGCTTAAATGAATCCCCATGCTTTCCTGCCTCCAACTTTGTCCCTAGTTTATGAAAGCTAATAGATGGGGTGACCTGGGACTACAGCAGGAAAGGAAGCGAGCTCGTGAAAATCTATAGGCAGATCGTAAGCCCTAAGCCCTCAGAAGTGTGGCCAGAAATGGCGGTGATGGAATGTTCTGTCACCATGATGATGCGTCGCCATAACGATAGCCTGTCAGCCAATTAGAGTTGAGAAAAAGGGAAAGCCTAGCATCCCTGATCAGCTGAAAAGATAATTAGTGCCAGGACAAGTAAGTCTTGAAATTCTTTGTACTATCTTGGAAGTTCAAGCACACACACACAGTCAAAAGTGAAAAGTAACAAAGAAATGTCAACAGAGTATTTTGTGCTTTATTGCATATAGACTTTAAAGTTCAGGGTATTTGCAAACAGCATTATAATCCGTCAGAGGTAATAATAACACACTTCAATATTGTTCCTTCCAGGAGAATGGGTGTATGTTGGGGAGAGGTGGGTATGACAAGTGCTTTAAACAGAGGGGCTTCTTCTGAGAGGCACCCAGCAGGTGTCCTCATGATGACAGAGGGTTTGGAGGTGCTGTGTGGCTGCACAGCCGCCCTGCTCCCCCCCCCCCCCCCCGCCAGTGCACCTCATGCAGGGAGGAAAGCAGCATGCAGTGCGTGTAGAGGGGAACTCCTCAGCCTTCAGCCCCACTCAGAGAAAACATCTACCCATTTAAGCAGGCACCGTCGAAGCTCTATCTTATTTACATGCCAACGTTTTCAATGTGCATAAGGAGAGGTTTAACCCAGGTCTCACAAGGTGGGCCAAAAAACAGGAGAAAAAACCAAATTCAGCTAAAGCAAAGCCTTGCGGCCGATGAACGGAAGCTGATAAAACAGAATACATTCAACATGCAATGGCAAACGAAAACTGGGACACATAATTCATACTAGAATTTTACATGGAAAAGTGTTCCAGTGTTCAAGGCAAATTTGCCCTGTCACTTAAACATATCATCGCAAGGCAGTCTGAAGGGTATGTAAGATATGAACATACATATCTGTTCATAACCTGCAGTGTAATCTGCAAAGCCTTGATGGCCAATATAACGTCATTTCCCGATTAGGCCATAAGGCAAAGATAGCAATATACAACAGCCAAGGCAGAGACAGGTCTGTAGAGCATGGATCTGTAAGTCATCTTTGGGCCACATCAAATTCTTGTCTTCACAGTAATGTGCAAACATGATTAATATGGTATTTTCTTTTTAAATATCTCAGCATTGTTCCTTGAAGATGTGACGTACTGTATGCATAAACACAATATACATTACCTCTTCAGATTCCCATAAATATTTCATATTGAAGAGGAAGGTACATTTCACCTTAGGTCCGACTAGGCTGGAGTGGGAGTTACAGTTTTGCCTAGAGGAGACTTGGAATGATGAACACAATATCTATACTCCTGATCACCTACACATAACCATGCTATGACATAATCTATGGGCGAACACTTCATTCCTGTGTATTAGTTAGCCATTCAATGTACTGTATGCTAAAATATGATCAACAATACAACAGCATGCTCCAAAAAGACAATATATATATACACACATACCTAATGCACAATAATCACTTTAGACAATGATGAAAATCCAACCTGACGTGTCCTGGGGCATTTCGGTCGGTGAGATGGACATCTGTCAAGTGTGAGCTCACTATCTAAAGTGCATACATTCTTTGAGATGTATCACAATCATCCATAACATCCAAGGTTTGAAGCTTGAGCAATAATTTCACCAAAAGTAGAATCCTTTGGTTTATGAAAATCCATTATTGCCAGCTTTAGTAATTTTTCCCCTCCAGAAGAAAAAGGCAGGAAAAACTGATATTAATAGATATATCAAAAGACACAGCAGTAAGCTTATTTACACGCTCTGTGACTTGCATTAAGTACTACAAAATGGCTGAATGGGAAAACCTGAAGGAGTATTTTTAAAGAGACTGCTGATTTCCAGGCAGGTGTCTCTTGGTCTGGACCTGCACAGGCACTGGGCATAGCAACTGTTCTACCACACTAAACAATTAGTCTGAGAACACGATTATGTCAATGAGTTTACACTGCATATTTCTCATAAATGTAAAAACGTGCATCTTGGGTCTTTGGCTGCAGCTGAGTCCCGTAACGATTAACAGTCGTCATCACAGAAGGTCTAGCTTGTAATTTTGGTTTCCTGCCAACCTGAGCTTGTGTGGTTTCTATGATTCTGTACGCCTTCTGATGAAATCTGAACGGTGTTCTGAATGGCTGTGTGAAGGTAACATTGCTAGGGGTTGACTGCTCAGCAAAGGAAGAGCTGTGATACATGGCTAAGGCATACATTTGAGGTACAGTTTGCACATATAAACATACAAAGCACATCAGACATACATCTTTAGCAAGGGAACAAGGGAATATCACAACAAAGGCCATTTAGGTGAATCCTACACAGCTTTTCTCCAGTAAACATTAGAACTTAACCATCAATAATAATAAAAAATTATATAAAATAATAGGCTTCTGTCTGGTTTGCTGGTGGAGTAAGGCACTTCTTTGGCTAACTGCTTCTGTTAGGAAACTTTAGCCAAATGAAGCCAGGTGATTTTAAGTCCTACAACTGTGACAGCTTGTGATGAAGAAGTGATGTTCTCTGGAAACTGGGTTTGTTGAAGTCTTTTTTTAAGGCAGATCATTTGGTTTTCTAGTCTTTTGTGTTTTTTTTTCCTATTTAAATATGAATTTCAGTCAATGTCACTTTCAAAAGCATGTTCTCCTTGGAAACTGTGCAGGCTGATGGGTCCCTCAGTCGTCATGGAATGTGAGGGAGAGAAGGGCATCTTCAGGATTCAGCGCGTCGTCAGTGTGACCCATATATCTGACACGCGATTCCTTTCCCTTTTCCTGTGCTTCCTGTGTCTGGCTTGGTGAGGGCAAAAGTTCAAAGGTCAAAGGTCATGGACAGTGAGGCCACCACTGATGGTCCTACGCATGGCTGTGAACTGAGATGCTGGAAAGGTCGTTCCTGATGATTTCATTAACTGTGGAGACAGGACAGAAAACATCAGTCTTAACATATAACCAAGACCTTCAAAACGTTTATTTATGTAACTGTATGAATAAGCATCTTCAAAGCAAAGGGAAATAACAACTGGTCAATTGGCACAAGAACCTTTTATGGGGAACTGTATTCTAATTGCTACTAGTTACTCACCTTGGCTATAGTCCTTCCCACATTACTATCAACAGTTTGGATTCTGATTATGACTTGCTTGTGGTGACATCATTCCTTCACCAATGTGAATTATAAACACCTGACAGGTCACCTGACCACCACGTATCAGTCTCACATCCACACTGAAAGCATCAGGCAGCGTTGATCACACAAGGCCACTAATGTGACAGTGAAGTTTTCTACAGGCAGATCGCTGACAGGGAGCCCCATGTACTCTGAGGGGGGGGGGGGGAATGTGCCTGATATAAAGCAAGGGAAACCCAGGAGACTAACCCCTGCCCCGCGCCCGACCCGGAGACGCCGGCTGCTCTCCCACCTTCCTGCCCCGGGGGCCAGCTAGCTGGGCCCCGGGGACCCCCTGATAAGTGACAAAGAGCACAGCACTGCCCCCCCCCCCATCCCAGCTGCTGCCCCCCAGACACACAGCATGCCCCAATGACTGGCACGCTGAGGTTTCAAAACCCAGACACGCCTATTTAAAAGAGTTTTCCACTCTTTTTTTGACCTTTCTTTGACCATAAGTTGTGAAAAGTTATACTCTCAAGCTTTTAATCATATGAAAGCTGCTGTCTGTTTACTGCAAAATGGTAAGATCATCTGCAGAAATGGAAACAGTACATTGATTTTTTTTCATGTTACATGTCTTTAATGAGTTTAATACAAACTTTCCATGTTTGCGATGCTCAGCTGTTCGATGCAAATGGACTCTTGCCATTTGGTACATGACATAATCTGATATTATTCTTTTTAATTTTATTTTGGTGGTTCCACATGGTACGGGATGGGCCTTGTGGTGAGGGAGTTAGGGTAACTTTGTCGTACCTGAAGTGGTACCATCATGCTGCATGTGCCCAGACAGGCAGAGACTGACCACCAGTGTAAATACAAACATAAAGCATCGCTGTCAGTACTAACATAATAAATAGAAAGCGCAGCCAGCCTGGTGGGCAGTTCTGTCACATGGAACCAGCTGGGATGTGAGGCCTGGAACTTGCAGCTACTCTGTGAATGCAGTGCTGGCTGCAGTTCTGTCATATGGAACCAGTTGGGTTGCGAGGCCTGGAACTTGCAGCTACTCTGTGAATGCAGTGCTGGCTGCAGTTCTGTCACATGGAACCAGCTGGGATGTGAGGCCTGGAACTTGCAGCTACTCTGTGAATGCAGTGCTGGCTGCAGTTCTGTCTCTGGCTGCCAAACACATGCATTATCTCATATCTGTATGCACGGCAGCATGTGTGGGGGGTTGGGGAACCACGTTTTTTTTTTTTTTTTAAACTTTTTGCATTCTGTCCTCTGTTGTCACTCACTCTAAATACTGCACAACATCTACGATGCTGTTATTGCTCAGTCTATGTAAAATAAACTGAAATTCTTTGATAAGTTGAACTGAAGATCAGGTTTCATATTTTCACCTTGGCAGCACGAAGAATCACAATACACGTATGTACGGCTTTCTAGTGTGCGGTTTGAACAGAGAAACCACAAGGTGAAACACGGAGCTCACATCTTAGTAAAGCACAAACACCTGTGCCTGAATAGCAGTTAAGACATTTTGCAGCTTACAGTGACAGGACATCTCAGGATTTTATCGTTTATCTGACATAAATCCTCCTGACACTAGCAGCACAGCTCTAACAAAGTTTATGAATTTTTCCTATCTACAAAAAAAGTAAAAAGTGATCATTTTATGTTTTCACATACCCTCATGGTGTCTTCTGTAAACCTCGCACACCTACATACCAACCACAGTGTTGTTTTTCTGTATCATTTAATATTTTCCATTTTCCCCCTCGAGTTTTCCACTGATGTGTGTTAAAAAAAAAAGAAAGCAGATTGTTTGAGCGATGCGACACCGCTATGGGAGGGACTTACACCCTGGTTCTGCGTCTCTGTCAGCACCAACGTCAAGCAGGCCAGCCACTGAAAGAGGATGTGGTGAGCTCTATAGACCACAGCCATTTTTTGACACGTTTATTTAGAGAAAGCTAATGGCATTTGCGATTCTCTATTCTTATATGTGTCTTGGGGAAAAAGCTATTTTTGGCACCTTAACCTCTACAATTAAACTGACTTTTTTAATCACAGTACTAAGAGGTAACACCAGAGACAAATGTGGTATTCAGCAAGCTCTCTGGTACAAAGAGGTGGACCATGTTTGGCAAAGCTTTTCATTGTCTCTGTGCCTCCCCCATTTCACAAATTTTTCTAATAAATGTCAAATGTGATGTTTTTATTCAACGTCTCCGTGGGCTCAGTAATCTGGAGGCAAATGTCGGCTCCCCATAAGCTACAGCTCAGAGGCCAGACCTTGGACTGACTAGTTGCGTTGTGAGGTGGATGAGGAGGTGAAACCTGGAACCAGCCTGCAAATCATGGCTAAAATTAATGATCAAACAGTGACCCATTGCAGCCCAAGTCTTTTATATGAATCCATGGGTTTCTTAGTGGCATAAGGGTTTACATTCTGTTAATGTTACTTTGATTATTATTATTATACTTCCCTGTGGCCTTGACCAGGATGGACAATGAGAAGACGATGGACTATTATACATTTAAATGTTCCTAGGAAAAATGAACTGGGCATGGACTGCATCATGCACACACTGCCTGATGTTTAATGAGGGATCTAATTAAACCTTCTTAAAATACCTGCCTTCCTGGCTCTTCAATAATGAAGAAGGCCCTCTGCGTGCCTTTAACTAAGTGTTTTTCTTCGTTGTGCATGACAGTGTGACACCAGGGAACACTGCAGAGCAGTGGGTGGGCCGCCAGTTGATGTCTGAGGCAATGTGACCCAGGGCAGTGTGGCAGGGGCACTGCAACAGGGGGCAGTGCGATAGAGGCACTGTGGCAGGGGGCAGTGTGGCAGGGACACTGCAGCAGAGGCACTATGGCAGGGGCACTGCAGCAGGAGCAGTATGGCAGGGGCCAGCACCATTCCTGTTCCTATGAATTTCTCGAGAAGGAGCGCTCTCTTACGTGACATAAGAGGCAGAAGTGGAGAGTCATATAGGGTCCCCATACCAAATACCTTCTTCCTGATGTAACAGTGTGCTGGAAGATACTCCTCCTCAGGCTCCAAACTCCCTCACCCCAGGCTTTACATCATGGCCATAATGGCACCTGAATAACGGACCGTCCCATTTTAACTGACAGCTCAAGGCAGCTTTGAATTAACTGGCAATACACTCCTACTGTTACAATGTAACTGGCCAGCTATGAGTAACATTTAAAACATTTAATGTGCAATATAATTCAGACCTGCATTCTGTACTGGGCATCATAGTGCATGTGATTGTTAGTCCTCTTTGATTTGAATTTTGCTATAAAACCACTGATAGCTGAACTGATTCAAAGTACAGCCAACAAGAACTCCAAATAGTACATGTCTTTTGAATATAGACCTGCATATCAGTTAGTTAAGATCTAACCAGTAAATATAAGGCGGATTGTTGTGTTTGGTGAGCAGTGCGCTAACAGCAGCTAAATGCTAAGTACACATGGCACTGGGTATGGCTGCACTGGCTGCTTCTGCACCGCCATGAACCTCCATCTCTTACACATGGCACTGGGTATGGCTGCACTGGCTGCTTCTGCACCGCCATGAACCTCCATCTCTTACACATGGCACTGGGTATGGCTGCACTGGCTGCTTCTGCACCGCCATGAACCTCCATCTCTTACACATGGCACTGGGTATGGCTGCACTGGCTGCTTCTGCACCGCCATGAACCTCCATCTCTTACACATGGCACTGGGTATGGCTGCACTGGCTGCTTCTGCACCGCCATGAACCTCCATCTCTTACACATGGCACTGGGTATGGCTGCACTGGCTGCTTCTGCACCGCCATGAACCTCCATCTCTTACACATGGCACCACCTTGAAACATGTTGATCTTCCCCCCCTTAATGCAGGCATTAGATGCTGTGACTGTTTGTGGAATTGAATTACAGTTCCTTGGAGACATCCTTTGCATTAACGGCTTGGTGAATAAACAACGTAGTAATGGAAAATTCAACGGCATGGGTTCCACAGAGAGAGAGAGAGTTGAGAGAGAGAGAGAGAGAGAGAGAGAAGGAGGGAGGGAGGGAGAGAGAAAGGACAATAGCAAGAGAAAGTATACTGTTAGACTGTGCCAAGAAAAATAAGTGTCTTTCACTACCTCAGGTCATGTCAAACTAGCAGCTTATTTCAGGGCTTTTCGTTTTCACAAACCTGCCCCACCATCGGCCAGCTATTTTTGGAAAGTGTGTGACTGACACATGAGAAAGGCGCACTAATAAAACGGCAATAAAACATGCCATGCATCTGGAAAGACCCGTCAGGCTGTACAATGTGGGGGCAGATCCTACAATTTCCCTGGGTGTGGATCTCACGTTGGCACGAGGCAAACAAGCCCCCCCGCTTGCTCCCACCGCCACCCGGGTCAGAGCCCATCCAACCTGAGTCATGTTTTCCCAGTATTCCCAGTGGGAACTGGGCTGCAAAAGGCACGGGGCATCTTTTCAATCAGACAATCTTACACTATTGCATTTTTGTCTCTTCATACATCTTTCAGAATCTTAGCTCCCAACTTGACATATGAAGTCTTATGTTGAGGAAGTAACTCCAGAAATCTGTCATTTGCATGTTAAATGACCAGCATGGGTATTAGGTCATTTAGCAGACATCCTTAGCAAAACAATGAAAAGGGTATTATTTCATGTACACAGTTCTTACAGCAAAAATTAAGAAATGGAGGAAAGAGGTAAGTCTCTCTGATTGTCAAAGTAAATCTTTTTAAATTAAAAGAAAAGTTCAATT